ATTCAAACTAAGCAACATTTTAGCATTATTTTGGAATCAGTGTTACATTTGTTAAATATTGTCTTTTATTTTTTTTTTTAATTTACATTGTTGTACATTTTAAGACAGTGTTTTTTTTCTCCCCCCATTAAATGTAGATCCCCCACCCCCAATTCAGTTGTGCACCATCACCACTGTTCCCTGTGCTCTTCCCTCCTCCTTTTAATACCCACCCCCCAAGATATCTCTGGTTTTTAATTGTGTTTGTTATCCCCCCCCCCCCCGTGTCTTATTTGGTTCCCCTTATATTCCTCCTCTCAGTGAAGCTATTTGATATTTTTCTTTTTCTTTCTGACTTATTTCACTGAGCATGATCTCTTCTGGCTCCATCCATGATACTGCACATGGCATGAATTTATCTTTTTTGATTGCTGAGAGTAGTATTCCATTGTGTACATATACCACATTATCTTGATCCAATCGTCTGTTTTTGGACATCTGGGTTTCCAGGTTTTCCTATTGTAAATATTGCTGCAATAAACATAGGGATACAGGTATTCTTTTGAATTAATGTCCTTTGAGTAGATCCCTAGGAATGGAATTTCTGAATCAGATGGGAGCTCCATTTTTGCAGCCTGAGGAATCTCCATGCAGCTTTCCATAGTGGTTGTACCAGTTTGCATTCCCACCAGCACTGTAGGAGAGTCCCATTTTTACCATATCTTCACTAACATACGTTGTTGCTAGTTTTGTTGGTATGCGCCATTCTTACCAGTGTAAGGTGGTAGGTATCTCATTGTGGTTTTGATTTGCATTTCCCTTATTATAAGGGATCATGAACATTTTTTATATGTCTGTTGGCCATTTGCATTTCCTCTTTGGAGAAGTGTCCTTTAAGTTCTTCTGCCCTTGTCTTGACTGGATTGTTTGCTTTGTTTTTATTGATTCCTGTGAGTTCTTTTTATATCTTTGTGATCAGTCCCTTATCCATTGTTTGGAGTGCAAAGATTTTTTCCCAATCAGTAGTGTCTCTTTGACTGGGTTAGTGTCTCTTGCTGTACAGAAGCTTTTCAATTTGATGTAGTCTCATGTGTTTATCTTTTCCTTCATTTTCTTTGCTTTGAGGGGTGAGTCTTTGAAGATGTTACTGAGATGTATGTCTTGTAGTGTTCTTAACTTGTATTTTCTTCTATATATTTTATGTTTTCTGGTCTCATGCCCAAATCTTTTTTCCATTTTGAATTGATTTTTCTGCATGGTGTGAGGTAGTAGTCTAGATTCATTCTTTTGATTATGCTGTTCCAGTTTCCCCAGCACCATTTATTGAACAAGCTGTCCTTGTTCCACTGCATATTCTTTGCTCCTTTGCCAAAGATTAGTTGTCCATAGATGTGTGGGCTTGCTTCTGGACTTTCTGTTGAGTTCCATTTATCTATGTGTCCATTTTTGTTCCAGTACCACACTATTTTAATTACTATGGCCTTCTTGTATAGTTTGAAGTTTGGAAGTATGATACTGCCATTCTCCTTTATTTTCATCAGTAGAGCTTTGGCTATTCTTGGTTTTTTGTGGTTCCATATAAATTTCATCAGTGCTTGTTCTATTTCTTTAAAGAATGTCATTGAGATTTTTATTGGGATAGCACTGAATCTGTAACTTGCTTTTGGTAGGATGCCATTGTAATAATAATAACATATTCTTCCAATCCATGAGCAGGAGATATTTTTCCATTTCTTTGTGTCTTTTTCTAATTCTTTTAATAGTGTTTTATAATTTTCTTTGTATAGGTCCATCATCTCTCTTGTTAGGTTTATTCCCAAGTATTTGAATTTTTTGTTTCAATTTTAAAGAAGATGGTTTTCTTGATTCCCTCTTCCAGTTGATTGATTGTGTATGGGAAGGCTACTGATTTTCGTGTGTTGATTTTGTATCCTGCTTCTTTGTTAGGCTGGTTGATTACTTTGAGTAGGACTTTTGTGGAGGGCTTGGAATCCCTACTTTTCTACTCTCTGGTAGATGGTGATTTTGTTCTAATCTACTGGGTGGCACCGGACACCTCCACTGGAGGCCTTTTAGAGTTGTGCTTTTTTCCCTTGATAGGTCTCTGGTAGAGGGAACAGAGGTGGGATGGAGTGGCTCAAAGGTACTGGGTGCTGGGCATACCCCGTGAGGTACCCACATCTGTATGAATCCTGTGTCCTTGGTCTTCACACCTGTGCCTGGGTTCACACTTCTGTAGCTCTCAGATCCAGAACATGGGAGGTAGCTGGTTCAGTGTCTGCAGTTTTGATGCGGTTTCTGTGCTCTGACATGAAGTCAGAAAGTCAGGTTTTCAGTTACTAGAATGTCTTTAAGCAGTATCTCCTCACTGATGCCACTCCAAGGTTGCAAGCGCAAGAACCCAAGTAGCTGCAATCTGTTGCCACAGTGCGCTCCAGTGGCTTGCTCTTTCGTGGTCACGCGTGCACCAGGGGTTCTCTATCATGTCCTTTGGAGATCAGCTGGCAAGCACGCATGAGCTCATCAGCTGGCCTCTGGATGTTTGCAGATTGCCCTCTATGCTCAAGGTGATGACTCTCAGAGTTCGTCTTTTCCTCCACTGGCTCTGGGTGGTTTAACTGGTGCTGGCTGCTCATCTGGTAGCAGTTCCCTGGGGTCAAAGTGTGCGCCTTTGCAAGTGGGGGGTGGTAGGTTTCTGCTGTTTTTTTCCCTTTTTCACCCCCTCCCCCATCTTCCCCCCATGGTTGTTACTTCCTTGGGCAGATTGTCAGCATTGCCCTGTTTAGCCTTCGTGACCTGGTTTTTGTGGAGACTGCTGCTTTGTAGTCGAATCTATGGGAGAGCTTAGGGGCAGTGTTTCTTTGCAGCCATGTTGATATGTAAGCCAAGTCGTTTAAGTATCACAACTAGTTGAAGTATTATGTGGCTATTTTGTGACTTTGAAAGCAGAAAACACAAGCTAAAAATTTTGGAGAGCACTATCCAGTTCTAAATTTAATTAAGAATATGAGGATTTTGGAAAGGCAACTGAGAAATATTTGACTCTAAAGGTAATAAAATCTTAAGACCCCTAAAAGTCAATAAATTTTAAATCACTTTAATTTTAAAATGTATTGTCTTTATTTCAGAATTGACACCATAGCTTTTCTTTATACAAGGGGGTAGAAGGAGGTTTCCCTAGTCCTTTTTGAGTCATGGATTCCCCTTTAAGATCTTACTAAAACAATGGACTCTTACTTCCCAGTTCGCAAATACATACCCTAAGTCTGGTGGACCTTCAGGGCTTATGGACCCACTGTCAAGTGGCTGCACATTACAGGTCTTCTCATCAGATATAGTTGCTTGTTCACAGTGAGGAAAACAATGTAAGTTTAGAGATGCTCAAGATAACGTTGGGTTTTTCCACTTTGCTATCATGTGGCTAGTTACATATTACAATTTAAGAAAGATTTTGCAAAACCAAAAAGTGTGATTCAAACTAAAGTATTGTACTTCATTCCTGTAAGCTGAGAACAGTTTTTAATGAAATATCCACAGTCTTGTGTATGTTATTCCAGTGATTGGCTCTGGCTCATAAAGGAATACAAACAGCACAGCAGTGTTCGGAAGATTTATTAGGTAAACTAGCTAAGACATGACATTGACAAATACACTCAGCAATCAAAAGAACATCCATTGCTACCTCATTAAGGTTTTTTATATCTGTTTTGCCAGGTACAAATAGAACTCACCTCTGCTCAAAATAAACCTTCAGGGAGCTACATGTTCCTTCTTCTGGTACATTAAAAAAATGTTAAGCCTCCCTTTTCAGTCTTGCTGATAATCCCAGAATACTAGTTCAGAAAGGCCCTACAACTTGTTTTTCCCTCAGATACAACTGATCTCTCTTGCTCCTGAAACAGTTCTGAGAAATACTTTTTGTCATCCCTAGGGATCAGCAGCATTTAGGCATGCTTTTGCCAATCATACCTAAGCGGTTGAAGCCATGAAGGCAAATGAATTGTATGGTGGTTTGGGTGGGGAGAAGCCCTCTGAGAGAAATGACCTGTTACAAATTCTATTTTAAGATGCATCCTTATGGAAATATGAATATTCCTGCCTTGGTACTACTTTGGCCACGTGTACCTCCAGAGCCATCCTCAAGATTAGGCTTATATAAATTGCCCTGTGCAAGCAGGTGAGTAGGAAGCTTATTTTCTTGCAACTGCCTTGAAAACCAGGCTTGAAATCATTTCAAAGCCCAATAGAAAAGCTTCATAAAACAAAAGAAAGTGTTAGCTAATTTCCCAGAGAATAAGGTTGAGTCTTCTAAAATTCTTTGTTCCTCAGTGTCCAAGCTAACAAACATAATTTTAGCTGAACAAAGAGCTCATTTTAGGTAACCTCTTTACAATTACAGGACTATAGACTAATGCATCTTATTTAAGACATTCCACACTACCTGCACACTCCAGCCGTATCTCACACAAAACTTGATATAAGCTGACAATGTTCACTAACAGTAATTGCTGTTACACTGAAAGGCACATCACTTGTCATGCTCAGAAAACCACATTACACAGCACTAGATGCAGTAACATGCAGACATTCAGATGGGTTTGGTTTGGTTTATGTTTTCGCCTGTGGTAGAGGGGCCTGACCTCCCTATTCTTTTACCTGTTAATACAGTTTCCTTCATCGTCTTTTAAAATTTGTTTTCATGTTGATGTGAACAACCTTCAGAAGTCTAGAAAATAATAGTTTCAGACAACACAAAATTAATAGATGCCTGAAAAACACTTGGATGACCTCCAAAGCAGTCAGATACGAGTCTGACTTGCACATCATGTCAGCTATTATCCTTTTAAATTTCTTTTCTAAAACTTGAACTAGATGTCAGTGTATCTTACCTTGCTTAAACTTGACAGTATAAGATACCATTTTTCGCTCATCTGTAAGACAATTGTGTATATCTTAAAGGGAAAACTCTAGTTGTTTATATTAAATGTTTTGGTGCTTTTCTCTGCTTTCAGAATATTTACTGTTTTTTCCTTATTGTCTAATGTTTGCTGTCAGCCACATGATGTGTTAACATATACTTTACAGCCAGCCAGCTGTTTCCAGGTAGGTAATCACATAGAAAACTAATAACCAACTAAAATATACGGATAAATCCAAAAGATTAGTGATTCCATTCTTGTCTTCTGCATTGTGATAACCAGCTTTAACGTACACCGGTAGCAACTGCAAGTTAAATGACATTGAGTTTCACTATATACTATATGCTCCTTCTTGAATTCTGCTTTTCAGACTTCCTCCTAGTTTCTCATTGTCGGAAGTGTCTCGAGATAATGTGTGCTTTAGTTTTAAACACTCATTACCAATATTCAGAAAAAATATAAGATTTTTTGCCCAAGTGTTTGTGAATGTAAGTTAAAAAATTATATTTGATTTGGATTCAGATATTTATAGATTTACACTATATTTCGTCAAAATATATTGTATAATATTTAATAAAACCAAATACATAAAATAAAGTTTTCAACACTATTTATACAAACCCCTAGAAAAGCTGCTTTTTCTTTATAAGGCTGTTGGCAATCGATCGGAACCATGGAAAAGAAATAATAGCCTTTGGTTGTTTACTCTTTCATCAGGGATGAATGGTATGACTAAGAAGACAGTTCTGGGTGAGGCATTTTACTGGAAACACTTGTACAATTAAATGCTCTTGATGACTTTTGAGGGTGTCAGTCACTTTCAGATTCTTCATCATCACCTATTGGGTATGACTGGGTGTTACTCTGAGTGTACATTTTTGTTTTAATGGGGCAGTTGTGATCCATGAGGATGGCCTAAAAGAGAGCAAAGTGCAGATAGATTAACTGTGTTTTGTAAAGATTAGAAGGTTAGCCTGCTCTTAGAGGTCACTAAACTGAAGGCTGGATACAGCACATCCACTATTAGCCAGTCACTTGAGACAACTGTCAGGTTGTCGAGCTGGCCACAGAGATACAGGGCCAGCAGCAGCAGAGGCAGTCTCCGGTGTTCTCAGCAACCTCCCAATGACTGTGTGAAATAAGATACAGGGATAGGCAGAATGACACCTAGAGTGTGGAATGGGGGAGGGTCCTGACAGTCACCTTCCAGCGTCTGTCTCAGACTTCACTGTGGTAATACCTTCGATACGGATGCACTCTGCCTAATGCGGTGAGTCTCATGTTAGAAACAATCCCAACGCTGGTCTAGAACCCAGCCCCCATTTCTGTTCCTGGGCACCTTCACAGACTGCCCTTACAGTATAAACCCATAGCCATGGTCCCTGAAAATTTCTTAAGCTAAACATCCCAGGAACCTTGACTTTTCACAAATGGCATTTCCGGAACACCTCTCCCTAAATCCTGTTGGTCTCCTCTTGCTCAGATCCATGATTTAAAATATATATTCCTCTTATAAAAATTTGTGCCCTCATTAATGAAAGTTGAACAAATGTGTAACCAGAAAAAGTAATGCTTTCTTTTCAAATTGAGTCTTCAATAAGGGCTTAGTCTCCCTTGGAAGATCTGGGCCAAGCACAAAAGTCTGATAATACTGTGATGTTTATCCCGCCAGGACCACACTAGCATTTTAAATGCAGCACCTCAGCTTCACAGTAACTCTGGTAGGCTGACAGCCCTCTGAGGTTAAACAGCCTCATCAAGGGACATGCAGCTAGAACACAGCAGATGTGAGCCCAAGCAGCTGCATCCCAAAGTCAACTAGGATGAGCTCTCCCTGGTGTCCTTGAGGAAGGTGGCTGTGGGACACTGGGTACGACTAAATGACTGACCTCATCAAATAGGTCTCAGAATTCTCCACCTAAACCCCAGTACCTTCTTTGTAATTTGAAACTAAATGGAAACATTTAACTGGGTTAAGTTTTATCTTGCACGTTGGCCTATTGCTTCCTATCTTGGTGCTTTGTGAGCTAAGTTCTTGTACCAGACTTGATAAGCTTCTGTGACTACACTGCTCAAGCCCATTTGCCATTTCCCAACAAGCTGTGAGATGATCTTTGTGACATGTTCAGATAAGGACTTTGACCCTCAAAGGATGTGCCAGTGCAAATTGTGAACTGCAAATTTAATGCCATCTTTTTATTATCCTTCTTGCCAAGTAAAGAAAGTAAAGCTCATTTTCTAAGTGTAACTGAGGCAAAAGCGAAGTGCCCATGGGCCGTTCTCCCATTGTGCCCAAGTCCTTGTTTCACAACAGAGATTTGACCACTAACGCTCAAGGTCTAGTTTCCCTAGATTGGTCATCTTCAAAGAAATGTTCAAGAATCACTTGGAGAGAGAAAGGGGCAAATTAAAAATGCAATCCCTGGTCCCTATCTACACAGGACAGTGGCGTCAACATGCTAGGAGACCCCCACCCAACGTAGGTGGCATCAGCTATATTAGAGTCATCATGTAGCTCATTCTGGATAACATCTGGGCCCACAGAAGGAGGCGCAACAGGTTAGGACACAGAACTGTAAATCACCTCGGCAGCTTCAGTGTGAGTTCTATCCCGGGCCCTGGAGCTGACCCACATGGTGCGGGAGACCTCTCCTGACCCGCCCGCTGCTCCTCTCAGCAGTATACTTAGTCAGTTGGCCTGTTCTGCTCCCCACTCTGTCTCTGGTGAATCCTCTTACCACCCCACACCTCTGGCCTGTACCCCAGTTCTATATGCATAAATAAAGAAATCTTTAAAAAAAAAAAAAGCTACATTGCAAGGGGAGAATTTCAGTCAGCCACTAGGCATCATACAGGCTTAAATGTTTCAATTCCAGTCAGGATGTTTCAATCCAGCCAAACCACATTGACTTAGCCCGTTTCACATAGGGAAATTTTTTCCTTCCTTAAAATACTGTTTGATAGCTTTTAAGACCTAACTAACTGGCTTCTAAATCTCTTTTGCAGGATGTACTGTGCATTAATTTTTCTTTCAAGCTACACATCATTCAGCAAGCCGATGGCACATAATATTCCCAAAGTGCCTTGCGAAGGGGCAGAAACAATGGTTAGGAAGGGGCAGGCACAATGGGTAGGTCAGGTGCGTGGAGCACCAGCAGAGTGGCTGGGGCCAGCAGGTTCTTTAAGCCTGCCCATGCGCCCCTGTGGGGAGGGAGGCATAAGTGAAGAGAAAAAAGATCTAAAATGAGAGGAAAGGAGAGACTAAGGAGGCACACTCTTGGCCTCGCCAGCTACCTGCTCTCGTGTCAGACACGGAGCAAAGGCAGGATCTCCAAAGTGGCAAGAAGCCACAGGACCAAAACGTAAAAACGCAAATAGGAAGCTAGATCCTGAAGCAGCCTGAAGGGTCAGCGCTGCGGCTCAAGGGGTAGTGGGCATATCTAAAAAAGAAGTGGTGGTGGTTTCACATATCTGCCGGTGACATCCAAAGACAGAGCAGCTGGAGAGACTATGGAGCAGCAGAGACCTCAGAGTCACCCGGAAAAAGCAAGCTGCTGCTGGGGCAGGGCGGGGCACAGAGGAGGCGGGGTCACGGCGCCACCCACAGGCAGGCTGCCTGAGAGAAGGGAGAGCAATGGGTGGGAGGGAGGCAGGTGGGGAGGGGCTGTGCTTACACCACCTACCTCCCTGTCTGGGCAACAACTAGAAATGTCAGGGGGAAGACATGAGAAATTGCCCTGATCTTCTAAAATAATTCCTCAGTAAAGTGCCCTTGCAGAACACAGCTGAGTGTTCTGAATGACGGGCTGCTGGTGATTGTCGCTCGCTGGGACAGTTTTCCTCCAGTGACTGTCTGGAGACTGCACAGACTTGCAGAGGCCTCTCTGCAGCAAGCAGATTTTTTTTTCTCCTCAGGTATTATAATAAATCAACTTTGATTGCTAAAAAATAAACTGAAACCCAGTAAACAAGTGGGAGAAAACCTCACTAGCTCACAAATTCATGAATCTTGGGGTTTGGGAACACAGCACGGCCCCCTCAGTGTTAAGGCGATACCAGCCCAATCCAAACAGTGCCCGGATGCTGATGCTGCCTGAGGGGAGAGCCGCTGCTGCCTCACCTGCCTCCGCCGCATTTGGTGGCGGATTGGGCTGACTCTGGCCTGGCCTGGATTTTCTCAACTGGGCGTGAGCAGCTCCTCGCGGGCACACTGCTATCGTGACCTCTCACCCTTGGGTGCTGTGGGTTCCACCCCTTCTTCCTGCTCTGCTGGCACAAGGGGCAGCGGCCACCACCACTGCCAGACCTGACACACCCGTCAAATGGCCTTTGACGTGACGCCTTCGATGATGGGCAGCAATTATGGGCAGCAAGATGTCCATTTCCCCCCAAGTTTGTATTGATTTATCTTGCTAGACACTTATGAAGGATTTTGATATTTTACAGTGAAAATGGCTTTCTGGAAACCTGTCACTCTTGCTGTGACTTTCAGGACCAGCTCTTCCACTTCCTTCAGCGTTTTTCTTTTTGCATGAACTGAAGCCATGGTTTAATGTGGAGAGAGGTGGGGAACTCAGCATGCCTCCAGCCAGCCTCTGGGGTGGGGGTGGGGGGGTGGCGCGTGCTGGCAGGCCAGCTGGGGCCCCTCTCCCTCCCCCGCTCATTCCCTGGCCTCCTTCACTTCCTCCAGGGCCTCAGATCAGCCCTCCCATGCCACTGCCACTGAACAGATGATGCAGCAGCCGCCAGCAGCTGCCAGGGCTCAGGAAACCAGGGCCGGGGCTCTAGGGTAACAGTGAAAGGAGGCCCTCGCCTCTTGGGGGGAAGACCGGAGGCTTTTGGGGCAGCACTGGCTGACAGATAAGTTGGGGAGTATGACCAAAGCTGGAGCAGAGAGCAGGGGGTCCTGGAACGGCAGCACGGAGGTGGCGTGCTTGCTGTGTGCCACAGCCAGGTCGACTAAGCCTCTTTGGGTTCTTGCCCCTGTCATTTCCCTTCACTACTCCCCCCCCGCCCCAGAGTGTCAAATAATCTCCTGGGTGACAGGAGCATTTGAAGGTGATCTTTCATCACCGCTTTATTTTCGGGGGGGGCGGTCAGAAAGGGTTCAGAGTGACCTTCATGCAACCTTAAGCTCAGATGATGGCAACGCTTGAAAGTTTTCCAGAAAACTCCATGAGAATTTTCTGACTCTGATCTGGGCAAAGTTCTGGGCTGGGGTTAGCCAGAACAGGAGGATTAGTGGACAGGTGAGCCCCTGGGAGATGCATATGGACGGCTCCAGTGGCTGAGCCGGAGAAGCATCCATACAAGCAGAAGGGATTTCCACAGCGCCTTCCACAGCTTTTTTTTTTTTTTTTTTGGAGCCAAATGGGTCATGAATAATTCAAAATTATCTAGAGAAACCCTACAGAATAAAGGGCACAGATCAGTGCTCAGGGCTGGATACATTTTTTTAAATCTATGGAAAGAACTAATGAATGCAAAAAAAATGCCCAAAATAAATAAAGGCTGCACATAACCTGGCTGCAGCGTCTGCATCCGCCTTTAATTCCTCTCTTGGAGGAGGACCGTGGAAGGGCAGGTCAGGAAATGCCAAAGCACTGGAGACCCGGTTCAGCCCAGTTCAGTCAAGAAGAACTGATGTTCTTCCCGGGGGACAGCACCAGCAGACTTCACTTCCGTTCATAAACACAAAGCACCAACTCCCTCATCTGGTCTATTCATTCTGAATCCAGGACTCTGTCTTTCACCTGGGCCAGTGTCTGTAACCATTTAATATTCTTAAAACCTCAGCTCCACTGCCAGGAAAAGCAATGACCATGGAGATATATTCCAAAGTTCAAATTTAGAAGTGATGTTTGAAACTGATCAGTTGAACACTTTATATTCAGTACTACATCTTGCCGTGTGTGTGAGCCTGGTCGTGATGCTATGAGCTGAAAGGTTATACCTGCTCGCAGGCTCCCAGGGGTGACCCACACTAAAGCCACCCCCAGAACTGTGTACAATAAGAATCAAGTCACCGTGACTGGAAGGGTGAAGGTCAGCAGAAAAGCAGCAGCCAAAATGGCTAATCTTGGGAGGAGGAGAGGACGCAAAAGATACAATATCCAAGATCTTAGAACTAGAAAATTCAAACTCTCCCTGTTGATATTTGCTTGACAAAGAGTTATACTGACTGCTAATCTAGGAGCAAAAAAATTATTTCAAACGTGTAAATATACTGTTTGATACAGTGGAAGAAATAGCTGCCCTGGGCCATCCTTGGGGGTGCAATGGGTTAACGCACAGCACTATGAAGCTCGCCCAGCCACTGTAGCAGGAGTTCCACCCCTGCCCCGGAGGTGACCCACATGGCGCAGCAGAATTCTCCTGTCTCCCAGCTGCTCCCCTCAGCAGTGCACTTTGTCCATCTGCCTGTTCTGCTCCCCACTCTGTCTCTGGTGAATCCTCTCACCCCCCGACACCTCTGGCCTGTACCCAAGTTCTGTATGCATAAATAAATAAAATCTAAAAAAAGAAAAGAAATAGCTGCCCTATCAGGAACAAACCAGAAAAGGACCCCTCCCACGTATGCACAGTGAGTTCTGCCCAAAAGCAGCAGAAACACATTTCAGATTCAAACCAGGAGCAAACTCGCCAGAAGATGTGCTCGGATGACGAGGAAACGCTCCATCCCTCCAAACACGTTACCATTTTTTCCTCCTTGGCAGGTAGACTTCGAAGAAAACAGCAGAGAGGGGCGAAAAGAATATCAACTATCCCAATGATGGTCATGAGCCAGGGGAATCCGATTGCCTTCGCGATCGCTCCACCCGCAGAAGGACCTGTCAGGAGATGAGACTCAGGCAGTGAGTGTCTCGCGGACGGGCGGAAGAGGCCAAGGTCACAGCAGTGCTGTGGCCCCCGCGGGGGTTGCGGGCTGCGCTTACCGATGGCGTAGCCCATGCAGAAGGCCACGTCGGCGATGGCGTACACGCTTCCGTACACCGACACATGCCGCAGGTCCACCAGGTGGCCCATGATGGGCATCATGGACGAGTCCACCATGCCTGCGGACAGTCAGGGCACAATCTGGAGAAAACTGGCACGAACCCGCGACCGGCTTTGCGTCAGGTGCCCCAACCACGGTCACTGGCTCTCATCTCACTTGCCAGTCCCGAGGCGGCGGCCACAGCGCAGCTCTCACAGAGGACAGCAGGCGCTGGAGCCCAGTCACCGCCTGCCTCTGCCTGCCGCCCGGGGCCCGCTGAGGGGCCTGAACTCTGGGGGAGGCCTCCAGTCCCGCGGGCACCCACATACTTGCCCAGTCTGCTCCCCAGCCTCTCTGGGGCCTCCCACAAGGACAGTGAGGATTAAAGTTGGAAGGTGCCAGGGAAGAGCAGTGGGTTCCAGAACCTGAAGGAGCCAGAGGGGCCACCTGACAGGACCCAGGAATCTAAAATCCAATCAAGTTTGCCTGTTAACAACACCACCACCAAGCCCCTTCTGGAATCTCCCGTCCCTTGTCTATTTCCACGGGGGCTGGAACCCCAGTGTGTTGGGTTCTGGATTCAAATCCAGGCCAGGTGAGCAGGGAGGGCTATCTCTCTGAAGATTTCGCCCTATGAAATGGGGTTTCCCGTCTGTAAAATGGGGCTGTTCACGGCTGCCTGAAATGAGACTGTTTCTGTGGAGATCTCAGGTATCAAAGCAGCCAGGGAAACTCTTGTCACTGGAGCAGCATTTGCTGCTTGTTTCATACGAGCAAGGTGCTGGGAGACAGGTGAGCAAACAAACATCCCAGTCGGATGAGTGTAAGCAAAGAATTGAAAATGAACGAACAAGGGTTGAGACTGAGGCCGGGAAGGAACTGGGGAGGTCGCAGACACCAGGGCTGGCTCTACTTTCACGGCAAGGAGAAAGCCCCACCCCCACTCCCACCCCCCACCCCCACCCCAGCAGACTGAGCACTTGCTTTTAGTGACCAACCTGCATGTTATTAATGAGGGGAAAGTCTGCAAAGATCTATCCCAAATGTTCACAAAATTTGTCCTAACGTTATCGACAAACTCCCGTCTCCTCCGCCCAGGAAGACTCCCAGGTCTCCAGCCACCGTTTCTGAACCAAACCTCAAGTCTTTGAAGTCAGGCCTCAAATAGAAGGTCTGGCCACAGATCTGAGACCAAACAAATGTGGTCCGAGAGAGGGATTCTCTTGTTTGCCCAAAGCAGAGTGGAATATCTGTTTGCTTCTGTAAATATCACTTTCTGAAGTACTGGTTTGCAGGAAATGAACGCCTAGCGTGTGGAAGCAGGCAGCTTTGTGTGGATGAGCCGGAGCTCAGCTGCCCGCAGCTCCTCTCAAGCTTCCGGAAAGGTCAGGGGGAGCAGCCCCAGAAAGGAGGTCTTGCTTCCTGATGAGGAAAACCAAGTCCACCCTCAGGCACGAGGCTTGCCCGACTTACCGATTGCAAAGCCAACTCCAAAGTTGGGAGCAATGAGGCCATAAATGTTTTTTGCGAAAGGAATCTGTAAGAGGAAATAAGCGTCACACTGAAATAAAGCAATGCAAACTCTCAGCGCCTGAGAGTCTGTTAAGTATGTGATCTCTGGTCGGCTCTGAGCTCCCTTCTGGGAGACCCCAAGGAGGATTCAGGCCTGGGGAGAACTGAACCTCCAAACCTCTACAAGTCGAAGCAGAAACAGGTTTTGTTTTGTCAAATCACAAAAAAAAAAAAAACAAAACAAAACTAGTTGCAGGTGAACATTCAGATGGGTTCACTCTCCGTTTCTCACAGGAACAAGTAGGTCTCATTGGGGGCAGATATGGACCAGGGGCAGAAAATATTTTATTCTAGAAAAGCACGGTGCTCTTATTTCTGGCAGGTTGCCACATCTTGAAGGTCATAGTGAAGATGGGGGAGAGGAGAGTGAAGAGTAAAGATAATAAAACATTTTTTAGAAATTTCCAATTAAAGAAACTAAAATGCACCCCTCAGAGAGTCTGGTCCTAAAACATTTAAAATGATTATTTAAATCAGAAAAAAAGGAAAATTCTTAGCAAAAATAAATACAAGCAAGTCTCCAAGGACTTGGTGATTCCTGAAGAAAGCAAAATTTGATTCACAGTTTGTTTCCACTTGCCAAACTGTCCATCTTTTACTCACACATAAAATGCTGATTCCGACAATCACCAGTCCCAGAAGTGCACAAAGCCACCTGTCAAAAAACAAAAGCACACTGGGCCTCCCTGGTGCAGGGGGTTAAGTCTCAGTGGTATCAGGATGTCACAGCCACTGCGGCCTGAGTTTGAGCTCAGGCCAGAGAGCAACCTCAGCAGTGTACTTAGTCAATCTGCCTGTTCTGCTCCCCACTCCGTCTCTAGTGACCCTCCCACCCCCTCCGCCCCTCTGGCCTACACCCCAGTTCTTATATGCATATAAATAAACAATAAATCTTTAAAAAAACAAAAACAAAAAGCACCACCACCAGATGACTTTTAGAGAAAGTAAAGCCTCCTCCCCCAGTGCAGGCCCTCACTGGGATCAAGCCCATCCCACCTCTGCTAAGGCAGAGACACTTAGGACTTTTTTTAGCAACCCATCTCCACAAGCCGGGATCACGGCTTCATCTCGTCTTACCTCCCCATTCTGTGTGCGAGTGTCCCAAAAATATTGGTTCCAATGAGATAAGAGATACTCGCTGGCAAGAAAGCAATGCCTGTAAATTTATGAAAAGGACACCATATCAGTACTGACATCAGTCAAATGTTAGAGAAACTAATAATTGTCAGACACCACCGCAGTGATTACAGCCGCTGAACGACTCCCGGGCCAGCACCGAGCAGCTAATATCCGGCGGCGAGGCCTGCCCCCACGGGGCTGCTCCGTCCACACAAAGCCGCTGAGACACTCCAGACACGAAATTCATTTCTCTATCAACTGCTGCATCTCGCCCCACCTCCGCCTGAGAGTGAGCTTCCCACGCAGAGCGACAGCCACAGCGCCCAGCCCGGGGCTGGGCCACGGACCACGCGAGCCCCCAGCCTGCCCTGCCCCTTCGTTATTCGAAAGACAGATGAGACAAAATCAGGAAACAGGAAGCAGCAAGAAAAATGTTAAGGTGCTCCCAAAAGCACCCCCTAAGCAGTTACTACCCCACGTGTGTTCATCTATAAATGCAAATGTGTGCGCCCAGGATTCTGTTTTTCTCCAAAAACAAAATGTCATCATACCTACTCTCCTCCACCCTGCCTTTGTCAGTCAGCGTCTGCACATCTCTCCATGACAACATGAAAACCCCACGTCTCCATGGTCATTCCTAGTGGCCACGACCTCGCTGCCCGGTCCTAGCTGCCGGGCAGTTTCAAGTGCAAGGTGGAAGGTTCGCCGGGAGAGGGCCCTCCGGTCCCTGGGCTGGCTGGGGCCTGGGCCCTCCCGTCCCTGGGCTGGCTGGGGCCTGGGCCCTCCCGTCCCTGGGCTGGCTGGGGCCTGGGCCCTCCCGTCCCTGGGCTGGCTGGGGCCTGAGCCGACCTCCTCCTGCTGGCTGGCCGCCCTCTGCATTGAGCAGAAAACCCCCGCGGGCCTCGCCTGCTCGCCTGCTCGGCCGCCAGGGGTCTGTCCACATGGGCTCCCTCTGGTCCGCAACCTGGGCGAGGACAGGACGATCTCTTTTCCAGAGACAGCTCACCGAAGTTTTTTTTTGTTTCTTGGAATCGCATTTTCTGCATTTGCTGCTAACTCGCCCACAGATGGTAAGTGGCTTTGTTCTCAGTCACATGAGGGCATGGCTTGCTACTCAGGGCAGATACTCAGGGCGGGTGGTTAGCATGAGCCTGCCACGCTCCAGGCCTGGGATGGGGGCCTTTCTAGTCCAGCAGAGACAGGCACCCCCAGAATAGCCTGCCCTGCCTCTCCCAGGAGGCCCTCGCTGCCCCCCCCCCCACCACCACAGCGTCCTCCGCTCCCCTCCCCAGGGCTCCAGAAAGATGCGCCTCGGGCAGAGGACACAAGTCCATGTGACTGTTTTCAGAAGCAAACCAAAACCGAGTCATTCTAGACTTGGTGATCTGGGCAATAACAATAAGAGCAATCTCATTTCATGTTCCAGGAAACCATCTCTGTCACCCTGGGCCACGCACGCGGGTTGGGTAATTGCCGGGTATAATGGGGCAGGCGCGGCTGGAGCACGTGCCCGGCCCTGTGCCAGCTGCAGCAAAGGCAGCGCCCGCAGCGTGGCCTGATCGCAGGGGCTTTTTGCAAGGAAGGACACAGACGACTCCTGGCCCGTGCATGGCGTCACGGGGCCAGCTCGGTGCTCTGAGCACACAGGGCCGCAGCGCCCCACAGCAGCGGCAAGGAGCTGGACCTCGGCGGCTGCGTCAGCCGCGGTCGGCGGCCTGTCTCAGGGTGCGCGTCCGTGAGGACCCGGAGGCAGGAGCCACGGAGCCCAGTATAGGAGAAGGGGGAAGGCCCGCTGCTGAGCAAAGGGCCCCCCTCAGTCAGCCTCAGTGTCAGAGCAACAAAAGGAAAAGGGGGGGTGGTTGTTAAGCAGCTGCTGCGCCCCCTTTGTCCCCCCACCCACACAATCACTTCCTGGAGCATTGCCTCCCCAGATCACATCTGAGTTTTCCAGAAACATTGGAACTCTCAATCCTTATTGAAATCACCTCATTTTTTAAGTGCCAGCAACTGATTTTCAAAGCTTTGACCCCACGCCGGCCACGGCCATTGTTGTACCACGGGGCCATCGCTGCGCTAGGAGACCCGGGACCTGGCGCCCACGACCCTTCCCGACAGCCCCACCCCCATGCCAGTCCAGCTGGGAGCCCAGGCTCCTCACATGGCACCTTCCTGCCTCCGGTCCTGGTTTGGCTGAGAGACGACGGCTCCGGCCTCCTCCCCACCACCAGTGAGACGCCACCCACACAACCCAGCTCCCCAGGCCAAACACCAAAGGGTTCTGGGGGTGATGGGGTCCCGAGGGCCGTGCTCGATGCACAAGCCAGTTTATCCTGAAACGCTGAGCACGGCACTGACCCAGCCGAGGCGCATGATGGGCATGTAGGTCTCAGGCAGGGAGGGGGTGAGTGAGCCTGGGGCCGGCCCCTCAGCACCCCTGCTCCGGGGTGGCCTCCGTCTGGGCTGGCAGCACCCAGCCTCTGTGCACAGTTCCGGGCTCCCACCAGGCCCCAGCCTTGCCCTCACAGGGGATCTGCAATGCCTCCTGGGCTCCCCATCCTCCCTACGACCTCTGCACCCCAGGACTGCACCCCACCCCCTCAGGTCTTCTTTTCTGCCTGTGGAGAATCTTTTTAGAAACTAACTAGCCTGCAGACTTTATCTCGTCTCAATTTGCATCACCTGCAAATGCAACAGAACTCATTCTAGACCTTCCCCAACTCACTGGCACAGTATTACCCAGGGCTATTGGCCAGCGTGTGACCTGAACCTCACAAAGCCCAGGGCTAGTGTAGGATGAGTAAACTTTGGGCTTGCTGATGCCCTTGAGCTACCAGCCTCCTTGGCTACCTTGTACGGCCTTGCTTGTGTTAAGCAGAAGGTTCTCGGGGACCTGGGGGTGTGGGTTCCCTGGGGGTATGGGCCGTTGATGGTGGACAGCTGGGCCCACACGGCTGTGCGCATGTGTAAATGCAGACAGCTGCGCCTCAAGGGATGGATAAAAGCAGAGCAGCAGCAGGACAGGGGTGCACAGAATGCCCAGGAGAGCCCAGAGAAGCGCAAAGGTTCACTGGGGGGCACAGAGACCCGTGCTGGTCACGCCACCCACAGGAGCCAGAGTGGGGAGGGGCCAGTGGGCCCTGCCTAAGGGAGGTTGGGGGCCAAGTCCTCACATCCCGGAACCGCTGAAGGTTGGCCACGGTCGTCTTGTCTGTGGCCACCCAGCCAGGCTGGCACAGGGCAGGCCGACGGTCACGGCTGCCTGGGGTCACAGCTGAATGGACCCCTTTCCTCCATCCCACATCTCACGAGAGACAACAGGCTGGAGCAACCTGAGGGAAGCTGGCGTCATCCCTGTCGGCCTGCCCTCATGCCCGAGCTTCTGGGGGGTCTCCAGCCTCACTGCGCACTCGGGGTCCCGAGCCCTGGTGTCAGCGAGAGGACATCTGACCCAGGGCGGGAGACACAGAGAGGACGGACTCTCTTCACCAACCGAGTGCAGCCAGCCCCAAAGGGCAACACAGGGCGCCTGCAGGCAGCTGGCAAGAAGCCCTCTGGCCTCAGAGGGCTCTGTCTTTAGCGCCCCTAAAAACTGGCCCAAAACACGGCGTTCACCAGAGTAGTCATGTCCTGGCAGTGAGGACGGCAGCTCTGCCTGGACCCAGACCTCAGGCTCTTTTCCAAAATGACCGGGGAAGCCGGAGGTGGGGGGGTTCCCTTTGCACACAAAGGCCCTGGACAAGGGGTTCTGGGTGTCGGGCCCCCACCCTGCGCACTCTGCCAGGTTCAGGGGGCCCGGGGAGCTCCTGGAGAACAGTCCCATCTCAGGTGGGATGTTGCTTTCCCCTCACATTGGCCTGGACCTGGGCTTCTCTTGAAAAGCCCAAGTCCACCCGGAGACAAGGACCTGCCGTCCCAGGGACACACACGGAGCCGGCGGGCGGCATGTGGGCTGGTGACAAGCCCCGCCGGGCCGTCTCCTGACGAAACCCAGGCCGCCTGGCCGGCTGGCCCACCCGGGGCCCAGGCTCCCGGACTGGCTGCGTTTCAAGCCCCAGGCTGTGTCTGGAGAGGAAGAGGGCAAGCAGATAAGCGCCCTGCTCTTCCAGGACGCGTTCAATTAGGGCGATGAGTGGGTGACTGGAGACATCAGGAGCAGCAGACACGCAGCTCAGCCCTGGAGCACGTACAGGCGGCCCTGGAGCAGGGCTGCGCGGCCCCAGGCCAGATGACCACCAGGGCCAGAGGAGGACAGTGCTCCGGCTGGGTCAACAGTGGGGTCAGAACAAGCGTGAGCAACCGCTCTGTCTTTTGCAAAACTGCCACTGGCCAACTCGGGGTTAGGTCAGCCCACCCCTGGGCAGGTGGAAGGTCTTTTTTAGGGGGCTTGAGGGCCTTGGGGTTTCCTCTGCTGCCATGAATGCCAGGAAGCTCAGCGTTAAGTTGTCTCACAGAGAACTGGCCGTAGCTCAGCAACAGGAATCTCGACTCCTGCTGCTCGGGGCTCGGTTTTGGCTTTGGGAACTAATTTAACCATAAAAATCCCCTTGATGGGCCCTCCCTGGTGGCGCAGCGGGTTGAAGCACAGCACTGAGAGGCTTAAGCCACTTCCGCATGGGTTAGATCC